GATGTGAAACCTCAAAGTCTGGTGTACAGAAATCTGTCTTCTGGACTTTTTTTAGTCCACAGTTGGCTTCTTCTTTCCTCCACCTCTGAGCCTTCCTGCTCAGTGGGTCTCTCTGATAAAGAGGTAAAGGAGGCCAAAGTCAGCCTGGGACCTCTTTGTAAGACTGTTGAACCTGGTAAAGAGACTTTTTGTGTGTGTGTGATAGTTATATTATGTTTATTTGTTTTTGATTGTAAATAAAGTAAAAGCTGAAATACAAGATTTCTTGCTTTTTGTTTAGAGTCCTCGCCAGGTGGGTGGGTGGCCTTTGCACTGCTTCTTGTAGCTGCTGCATTAGCGTTGACTGCATTGGGAGTGATGTACCACAGAAAGAAAGGTACCGAATACATATACAATACATTTATATAATATCTTTAAATAGATAACACTTTAAAGTTATCACTGTCATAAGAAACTGTTCACTGTCTGAAATTAAATCCTGATATGTTTGTTTTGTGTTTCAGTGAGGAACGCCCAATCAGGAAGAGACCAAATGGATGGTAAGAAAGAGCACACGACAAGTTCAAATTAATGCTCTCAGTTATATAAACATGTGTCCGGGCAGAAACTGAATCCTGACATGAATATTTTGTGTTTCAGGGAACGGCTTAAGTGGTAAGAACGTCACACTGAACAAATCATTTTTCACATCAGCTGTGGTTTTGTTATATGTGTAATAACGGCATAAAAGAATGATGCATTTGCTTGAAGATGGAGCAAAGTCAGCCTCTGACACAACCTGGATCCTATTCTCTCTGTGATTTGTTATCCCCATGCTGGTGTTGTGCTTACATCATCATTATAATGTCGGTCCAGGATCAATATTGCAAGTCTCCAATCATATTGTCTAAACACTTTGTTAGCATTAGCCAAGAAGTTAGCTGATGCTTTAAAACCTGTCACTAGGAAACCAACAGGAGTAGCCTAAATTTGGCTAACATCAAAGCTAACCTGATAATATATTTGTTACACTGAAAAAATTAATAAATAAAACACTCAAAATACTTAATATGTCTTTCAGAAGGATTTTATCTAAGCAAAGACAGTTTATTATTTTCCCCCACACTACAAAAATGGACATCACAACATTGTGATTGGTTGGTTGCAATCTTGATCCTGGACCTACAGTTTTTATGATGATGCAGGAACAACACCAACATGGAGATATCACATACACCTCCTACATTGCAAAAGTTATAGGATTGCAGTATCCCACACTGACCCATCAGTATCACTGTGGAAAGCTACACAAGACATTCTGTAATCATTTGCACAGTGTTGACATGACAAAGAAATCTGATTCAAATGATTCTTTCATTAAAACGAAAAATACTGATAAACTATTTGTTGTATTTCTCTACAGAGACTGAAAAACTTTTAGCAGGAGGTAAGACGTTACTAAAGCCGTCCTTGTTCTTAGAATCACTGTGACACATGAAGGTTATGTCATTAGGACATAATATTATAAACACATGAATTCTCCATTTCCCCACAGAAGTGGTGCAGCCAACGTCCATTTCAGAAGCTAGAAATCATTATGGTAATAACTTCATTCATTTTGTTGACAATCTCACATTTTCACAGTTTTTTCTCTTTCATGACTTTTGTCACTCTTTCTGATTCAATTTTCAACAGTTAATGTTAAACTTGAGGACAGAAACAACCCATACCTCAAGGTTGTAGGCAACAGAGTGAGAGAGGCCCACCCAGATGATCTTCCTGGAAAGTCTTTTCCTGATGGAGAGATGGTTACCTGTGTCACAGCTATCAAAGGAACATCTGGCTTCTCTTCTGGAAAACACTACTGGGAGGTTTCTATGAGGATAGATGAGAAGCTAGGCATCAAACAGTCCTGGTGGGTAGGAGTTACAAGTGCAGCTGAAATCCCCAGTAATTCATCCACATCTTTTCCAAACACATCGAATGGTTTCTGGTTTCTGTCTTCGTCTCCCAAAAGAGCAAATAGTTTTCAGTTTAGCACACAACCTGAGATTTTAATACCTTTCCATTCAAGACCAGAGACGGTCGGTGTGTATTTGGATCGTGACAGTGGTGAGCTTTCATTTTATAATGTAGAAGAGAAAACACTAATTGGATCTTTCACGGCTACATTCAAAGGTGACATCTTTCCATTATTTAACCCTGGAAAAGGTGACGCATCACCTATGGAGGTGGTACAGAGGGAAGTACAGAGTCAAACAGGTGATGAAGGAAACTGTGCAGAATCAGTTGAGAACAAGACTGAAACTTAATATTGTAAGTAAGGAAAACTGTACAAGCTGAAACATTTTCTTTGTTTTTATGGGAAAAGTAACGAATGACCTCACATTACTTTTATACTGACTTACTGAGACCTTTAAATCCATCAATTCTGTCTCATGTTCAGGTTATTTATACCGTTTAAAAATTTGGAGGTCATATTAACTCAAACTCCATGGCTGCAACATCATTTTATGTAAATATAATTGAAACTATGAATTTCTTGCTTATGGTTAAAAAAGTTAAATAATATCTATTAAAATTTAGGCAGGCAAACAAGAAAGAAAACCTTTATGCCTTTAACACATTCGATTCCAAGTGGAGGCAAAATACGATAAACAAAATGAGTACTGCTGTGGAGGTTTAATCATCAAATTTTCTAGCTGACATAAAACTGAATGAAGAGACGTAAATGTGTGCAATTTATGTTTCATTTTTAATCTGAAATAATCATGAAGAGAAGTCCAAAAAGTGAATCAAACATTAAGCAAGTACGAATAAAATAAAGTTAAATGCAAGAATTAAGAGCAAGATTACAAAATATATAAAAATGTGAGTCAAAAATAAAAAAATAATGATCTGAAAGATAAAAGTAATAAATTCATGCACACTAATACAAAGAAAAATTAAATGAGGTGAGTAAACCAGATAACATGAGCGTTATAGCTGGTTTGTAGTTCACATGCCTGTCAGATATTGCCGAGCCAGGTTACTTAGGCCCTGATAAATTGGCATATTTTAAAATCAGGTGTAAAGTTTACAGGAATGACCTTTGTACCTGTGTTACAGGCGCATTTATACACCTTTTTTTTGTAAACTAAAACAATGGCTGCTCTAAAATTCTATACACAGGTAATGGACTATTTCTGTTAGCAGTGTGTTACTGTGCTTCTGCCAGTGGTAAAGAGGGCAAACTTTCTTATCATCATCCTGGGAATAAAAGCTCCTTACCTTTGTGATATTCCCTAAATGATAAAATCCTGGAATGTGAGGTCACTGCCTTGCATCTCCAACTTGTGTGAAACAACAGTTAATGTGCGTAATGATGACGATAGTGCCATAAATTATGATTCTTGATAAGCTAACACAAATACCACAGGGTTAGCTTATCAATAACTGATCATTGATATTTTATCACTGTTACGAACCAAAAATACTACAAAATAGTAAAATACTACCAAAAATATTAATACAAACAGAGAACACTACACATCCAGCCATCAGTATCTGACAGTGTTTCAGTGATGCAATGATTACTGTGGTTGTTGACAAAGCTGACCCTGTGGTAACACAGAGCACAATAATTGATCCTGGAGAATACCACAGATCTGTACATAGTAGTTAGTATCACTCAGTACCTTCTTCTTATACCCAAGTGTGTAGGATACTGTGATTGCAGCAGTGTCTGTGGCTTGGTTAGTTTTACAGTTGTTCTCAAACCCCTCTCGTCTTAATGTGGAACCAAATGTTGGATGTTGCGTGTTTTACTTTGTATACGGAGTGTATTTGTATGCCAATAACACCATCTCGTTTTATTTATACTGTGATTAGGACATGTGTTGCTTGTGCAGTAGCTATAAGATTTGTTAGCATCACATGACCATTTTTAAGTTTCTTTTTTGGTGTGGGGGTGAGGGTGTACTGATGTGTTAGATCACTTTCCATTTTAAATTTTGTGATGGGTCACTACTGTAGTGGTCTTTGTATTGTTGTCAAGTTTTGATGGTATGCATATGTAAATAGAATAGCCTTTCAAATACTCCGAATTAAGCATTACAGTAATTAGCATGCATTTTGAATACTAATCAGAAAGCAGTGTACCTGACAACATGTTGTTTGTGTACTGCAAAGCTCTGATATTTTTCGTTGTGTTTGTAAAACAATGTAAAAGATTGATGTGCATTTTGTTTGATAATGTTGACATTTTGCAGAACTGCCTTTTTTTTTTTTTTAAATAAACAAAATCGATACAGGATGAGAAAATTTGTCATTTCATTTTTCTTGTCTTCAGCTTACACAAACCAGTTTACGAAAACACAGCAAAATGTCATACACTTTAATAAGTACAGATAGTATTTACAGTATGTACACAATAACACAATACTTTGTAATCACTACTGCATACTTTGATAGATTAGTAAGTATTTACATTGTGAATAAGACCATATGTTGATTTTGAAATACAATTATTTTTTTTAAATTATGTTACGCGATAAATTCAGGCGTGCCTTGATACATACTAGTTTGACTATGATCATGGTACAGAGGTTTGCAAAAAACACTTCACAGGTGCATCATGGTCCGAGATTTTGAAGAATACTTTAATACACTCTTCATGTGGGAGCCATGAGTTGGGAGAACAATGTCAGTCAGTATCAAACACAAACTATACAGTTTCATACATTTTTTTCACATGACATGTAGTCTAGTTATAAAGATCAGAACCACTGGTTTCTTCTTCCAAAGCTTTACACATTCATGTTTGGTCTTCAGCCTTCAGTGGAAAGAAATGCTGGACCAAGGACTAACTGCTGTAGTCACAGACCTTTGTTGCTTGTTTCTTCTCTCTCTCTGTTACACTCACTCACTTGCCACTGTTTTGTAGTAAAGCAAAGTGACATAAAAAAATAATAATAAAATAATACAAAAAAAAAATCATTCGTTGTGTTTCAATGCATATTCACACAAAAGTACATTTTTGTACAACCGCTTGAAAAGACATTAAAAAAAAAAAAAAAAAGAGACACCGGGCATCCGCAACATCGAGTACACTCATCATCCTTAACTGGAGTAACCCATCTGTCTTCTTAGCTTACTCATTGTTATTACACTACTCCCATATGACCAGAGACGGGGAATGCAGCTATACTTCAGAGTACGGCACCCATGTAAAAAATAAAATAAAAATAAAGGGGAAAGAGAAACTGCGTCCGATCGTGATCTAGAGTTTTTCCTCTTCATTGTGATTGCTGGTGGTTTTTACATTATGATATCTGTCCTGCTAGCGCTCGGCCCTAGCAGACTGCAGCCGCGCTCTCCCTCCTCCCCTGCTTCTTCAGCAGCTGGATGCGGTTGTGGACGTAGAACTTGATCGCCCTCCAGTCTCGCTGGTTGCTCACCAACAGAGGGCAGAGTTCGAGGCATCGTTCGCAGTCCGCCTTCGCGGGGACGCGCAGTTCCATGAGGTTTCTCTTCAGGTGAGTCTCCACTGCTACACGCTCGGCTTCTGACCAGGGACGCTTCAGGACGCCGCGCTTCCCTGTGTGACCGAGGCAGAGGAGTGACAAGGTTTAATGACTGAAGTATTAACACAGATGTTTGTGAGGTCACGCACTAATGATGACAGATTTTACCTGATTTAGGTGGAATGTTTCTTCTCTTATGGGCATTAGCTAAAGACGGGCTGACGACAGGTGATGGAACGGGCGCCTTTTTCTTCCGCGGAGGTCGGCCCGGTCCCTTCTTTTTCACCGTGACCTCTGTCTTCTCTTTAATTTCCTCTTTCACTTCCTCTGCCTCAGAATCTTCTGAGAAGGAATCTGCCGAGTTGCCAGACATGACTGCATGAAAAGAGATCAAACAGAGCTTAGTTATCCAAACGTACTAGCAAAGCAAAACTGTTCAACCACACGGTTAATGTTACTTCAAATGTTAATAAATAAGTTCAAAGTTGTAAAATGTTCTTCTCAGACAAAATGATGAAGTTTTTTCTCGAGGGCTTAAAATGGGTCTCGGATTTGTAAACTTCCTCTCATGGGTGTGTTGCAGTTTAAATTGGAGACTACAGTATTTAAATAATGTTGCATGAAAATAACTGAATACATTTTAAAAATGAAATTTCAGTAACTACTTTGCATTTTTAGAACTACAATTTACATTATTCAAGTTTTTGAAATGAGCCAGCCAGCAGGTGTTTGATTTAGCATAACATAGCATAATGACTGGCTAATCGTTTTCCCTGTTGATTTTATGCAAAGCAAAGCTAACCAGCAGCTGGCTGATGCTCATTTTTTAAAGATGAGCCGGAGTTCCATTGATACTCTTATTTTATTCAATGAGCACACTACATTTCCCTGAGTCACTCAAACACACTGACAATTCTTTACCCTTGTTTAAAAAACAACCCCCCCTCCCCCGCCAAGTTTCATATTAACCTCTAGTGCCATCTAGCTGCACTAGTTTGTTTTAAATCCATGAAAGCTGCACTCTTAACCGGTGAAATTAGGGTTCACTGAACTTTCTAAAAAATTTTAAAAAAAGAAAAGAAAAAAAAAAGACAGAAATTCATGCATTAAATAGACGTTGATGGGCAAACACTCCTCAAACACTCAATCATTTCTACTGAATAGAAAAAAAAAAAAAAGGGTTTCCTTACCGTCCAACTCGAGGCAGATGTGCTGCAGGCTCATCCCTCTGAAAAGCACTCCCTCCCTCTCTCCATAGAGAACGACTCGACCCACACGACCCATCAGTGCTGGGTCTCGTATGATAGTGGAGCAGTTCTGGATCACGTGGTACTCGTGCTCCAGGAAGTCCTCCAGCCGTTTGATGCCTCCTCCCTGGGTGTCACCCTCCTCCAGCAGTAGCAGCTGGGTAAGGATGGCAACCTGTCGCCGCACTCGTGTTGCCGTTAATGCTCCGGGGGTTTTAGCACCACTGGCTCGAGCCAGGTTTCTCAGGAGGTCTGTGCCACGGAGTGGGGTAGCAGGGGAGTGGTAGGGCCGGGAGAAGACGTAGGGGCTCTCTGGGTCCACCCCTACGTTGGGGCTGGTTCGAAGAAGCAGGTCGAGGCAGGATTCGCAGTGTGGCGGGAGAATTAGTGGCTGAATGCGCCCTCGCTTGCCTAAGACACCAGCCCGTGGGAGATGACACAAGACCTGGCGCTCAAAGGGGGACAGGAAAGCTTCCATGCCAGAAGGGGAGCTGTTGCTGGCGTTGGGCTGAGGGGTGATGCGGTTACGGTAGTCCTGGATAGTGAGCTTGGCCACCTCGCATTCTCGGTGGCGATTGTAGAGGATGAGCAGAGAGAGGCTGGAGTGGCAGAGCAGGCGCCAGGCCTCGGCAGAATGAGGAGAACGAGTCAAAGAAAGGAAGGAGGAGTGCTGTTGACGACGGAGATACAGGACCAGGCAAGAAAGGGAGGAGAGTAGTGGAGACATGTGATGTCTGTGTGTGCTGGAAAGGGAAGAAAGAGAAACATGCTTTTAAATTAACAGTTGAATCTCAACCAACTTTCAAAAAACCTCAAACATAAAAACACTCAGATACAGCAGAGCAGAAAAAAAGAAAATGATTCACCGCACCTTACAATCTCTCCATTCTTCTCTTCAGGTGCATCGTCCTCCCCTTCCGCGCTCAGCTCCAGCTCTTCATCTGGATCGATGTCTGGGTCCGGTGTAGGAGGTGGAACTAATTCCTCTTGATTTCTTGGACTCTCCACTTCGACTTTTTGCTGTTCTTCATGCTTTTCTTTCTTCATCCTCCGGCCCCTTCTGGGGGTAGACAGTGGCGGAGGTGACGGACTCTTTACCCGGGGCACCATCGGGG